TGTCTAGTGCAAAATCGTCTGACGAATCTAATGGCGTTTGAATTTTTTGTTTCTGACTGTAACTTTTCGTGTTATCGCAATCTTAAGGTTTAAAATTCGATTATGCGTAACAATCGGTATTTTCATAAGATCTGATTACTGTCGTATTCAGATTAAACGCTTATATATATAGCTAACATTTTTTTAACATATTATAGTGCAAAATCGTTTGACGAATCTAATGGCGTTTGAACTTTTCGTTTTTGACTGTAACTTTTCGAGTTATTGCAATCTTAAAGTTTAAAATTCGATTATGCGCAACAATCAATATCTTCATAAGATCTGATTACTGTCGTATTCAGATTAAACGCTTATATATATATATTTAAAAATTTTCAACACATTCTAGTGCAAAATCGTCTGACGAATCTAATGGCGTTTGAATTTTTCGTTTCTGACTGTAACTTTTCGACTTATGGCAATCTTAAAGTTTAAAATTCGATTATACGTAACAATCGGTATTTTCATAATATCTGATTACTGTCGTATTTAGATTACGCATTCTAGTGCAAAATCGTCTGACGAATCTAATGACGTTTGAATTTTTCGTTTCTGACTGTAACTTTTCGAGTTATCGCAATTTTAATAGTAAAGACTCGATTATCCGTGACTATCGTTTTTCCCATAAGATCTGATTACTGTCGTATTTAGATTAAACGCTTATATATATACCTAAAATTTTTATACGTATTCTAGTGCAAAATCTAATGGCGTTCGAATTTTTCGTTTCTGACTGTAACTTTTCGAGTTATGGCAATCTTAAGGTTTAAAATTCGATTATACGTAACAATCGGTATTTCCATAAGATCTCATTACTGTCGTATTCAGATTAAACGCTTATATATATACCTAAAATTTTTTCAACATATTCTAGTGCAAAAACGTCTGACTAATTTTACCAAGTTTACACTTAAAGATAAATATTATATTAAGCTTTAACCAGAATATCAAGATTAGACCGATATTAATTCAAACGATTATAAATTAACCAAGTTTAAACTAAAAGATAATAATTATTAAAACCAGAATATCAAGATTAGACTAACATTGAACCAAAAGATTATAAATTAACTAAGGTTAAACCAAAAAATATAAATTATATCAAGTTTAAACCAAAATATCAAGATTAGATGAACATTAAACCAAACGATTATAAATTAACTACGTTTAAACTAAAATATAGAAATTATATCAAGTTTATACTAGAATATCAGGTTAATGTCCAAGGTCGTAGACCATCATGGCGGCTTTTCCTGTTTTAGCCTCGAAACCGGACCGCTTTGGAGACGACGTGTCACGTGACGACGCGAGCGAACGGCGACGGCTGCTGCGCCGCGGCATCGCCGGCGCTGATTCCAGCAAACAAAAGCAAACAGTGGGGACGCACGTTCTAACTTAACCTATTCTATNATATTAATTTCTGTATTGTTGTATATAATTAAAACATCATCGACATATCTTTTATAATATTTTATACCGTGTATATTTCTAATTCTTTCGTCTATTTAGGTCATTATAATTTCTGCGAGTTTTGGTCCAATGACTGGCCCCATACTAATACCATTCTCTTGTGTATAATATTTTCCTTCTAATTCAAAATAATTACTCTTATATGCAAATTCTAACAGTTCTATAATATCAGGTTCTACATCTATTTTCTTAAGTTGATTCTCTATCAGTTCCCATTTTATTGATGGGTACATATCTGTCACATCTAGACTGGCTATTTTATATGTGTTTTCTATTTTAACACTTTTGAGATCATCAAGAAGGTCATCTGTGTTTTTGATAGAATATTTCGAGTTTTTGTAAACTTTGAGCTTTTGTTTCAAGAATCATTCTAAGTTATATAATACAGCAAATTTAAAGTCTACTATTAGTCTTACATTTTCATCTTTCTTATGGGTTTTAAGTTGTATATTTAATCTTGGTGTTCTGTCGTTATCCTCATACAGAATAAAATCTTTTTCATTTTTGGTAATTTTTTTAAGTTTTTGTAATTTTGTAATTCTATTTTTTAATTCTTCATATATTATATCTTCAGGGTTAATCGGTAGTTCTCTAAACTTATTACCTTTTACTATTTCAAGTTTTTTTAACTTTATCCAATCTAGGGTCACAACAATAACTTGTTTCGATTTATCTGCTCTTATAATATTTATCTTATTCTCCTTTAGAAAGGTATACAATTTTTCTATATCATTTTTATATTTATAATAATTTTTATCCTTTATCTTCATTTTTCCTTTTTCTTTCTTAGCATAACTTTTAATTATATTACTTAAGTTAATTTTTAGAATTCTACAATCCACTTCTGTTAGCTCATTGCACATACGATCTAAATTTGGCACTATGTCTATTACTTCCCAATCGTTTGGTCCATTAAAGTCCAAACCTTTTTGCATTGTCTCTAGGACATCATTAGGTATATCAATTTGTGTTTTATTCAACACTAAAAATCTTTTCCATTCCGATATCTCTTCTATAGAAGGATAGTTAAATTTTTTTTACCAGTTTTTTATGTTTGTTCAGTTTATATTTATCGACATTGTTTCCTTGTGGGTTTTTTGTTTTATCTCCTTTATCTTCGAAATTAACGTTCTTTTTCCTTTTGTTGTATTTTTGTAGATCACGTTTTAGTCTTCTGATTTTTATATATTTAAATTTTATAGCAAATGTTAATATTTTTTGATTTATATAATTTCTATCACGTGTTGGAGTACAGTCGACCCCCCTATAACGTACGTTCCTATAACGACAATTCCTATAACGTAGCGAANTTTTTTACTCACCTTTGTCCGCACTCATTCGCCGACTCTGGCGTGACGCGCAGGCGCTTGCGTCGTCACGTCACACGTCGCGCAGGCGCTCGCGTCGTCTCCAAAGAGGTCCGGTTTCGAGGCTAAAACAGGAAGAGCCGCCATGATGGTCTACGACCCTGGACATTAACCGAATATCAAAATTAGACTAACATTAAACCAAAAAATTATTAAATAACCAAGTCTAAACTAAAACTCATCCTAGACTGCAATTTCTTACTAACTAAACACACTCAAGAAAACCTTTAAATATGCAGCCGTAATAAATACGGCTGCATATATAAAGGTTTTCTTGAGTGTGTTTAGTTACTAAACTAAAAGATAGAGATTATATCAAGTTTATACCAGAATATCAAGATTAGACTAACATCAAACAAAAAATCATTATTTCTTTGCAGACACACTAAGGTGACATATATCAACACTTGGCAAATTATTAACTATTTATTCAGTTGGGACGCTTTTTTCATTTCGCGTTTCGGGCATTGGCCCCTCTTCAGCCAACTAGACATAAAAAATAAAACATGAGAAAAATGTACAAAAATACGCGAGTAAAACAACTCGTAGATAAAATGTTTTTTTAAAACATTTTTTAATAACCTACCATAAAGCACAAACCACTAGTGTACAGATGTCGTACAGAATGGACAGTTTATTATTCCATATACCACTTAAAAAACAAACAAGGTCGAGGATAACCATTTGACTACTGGCTTTCGAATATGGTATTCTTATACTTTATGCAAAAAATTCAAATAAGTAAATTGAAAATTACAACATATTTTAACAATATTTGCTTTACCTGTAGCCAGTATTCGTATATTGCACCTAAATTCATACAATAACTGTTGACACACTTTTTCCGAACAAGTTTCACTCATTCATCTTAGCGATATTATTTGGGTTGTCAATTCACATAGAACCTATTTAAAGCTATGACATTAGATTGTACAAACCACTACTTAATATTTGTATTACTTACAGTTCATATACACATCGCAATTCGTATATCAACTGCAGAACAAACAGGGTCGTAGATAACAACTTGACTACGGGGCTTTCAAATATGGCTTTCTTATAATTTACACAAAATTCAAATAAATAGATTGAAAATTACAACATATCTTAACAATATTTGTTTTTACCTGTGGCTAATATTCGCATATTACACCGTAATTCATTCAATAGCAGTTGTCGCCCTTTCTTTCCGAACATATTTCACGGAGTCATCTTAGCAATATTATCTAAACTGCCAATTTACATAGAACATATTTAAAGCCATTACATTAAATTGCACAAACTAGTAATTATTATTTGTATCACTTACAATTCATAAAGACATACGTTTTTAGTTGTAGCTTTTCGTTAAACCACTCCTGTGTACAATTTCCGCAACGACGCTATTTGGCAAACTAATTTGCATATTTAATTGAGCTGATTTTTGAACCAATTTCATAGAAGTAATAATAGAAGGTGGTATATAAACATGAATAATTATATTAATCTTAACTTAACTTATTACTTTACCTATATTTATATATTCATAAACGTTAAACTTAGGTAATTTTCTTCGTAATTACAACCAATCAGCATCAACATAGTTACAATATTTTTATCCAGTTCTCACTAATTTTAATGCTTAAATTTTTATTTATACAGTTATTATTTTTGTTTTTGATAATCTCGACGCTATCTTTGAATTTTCTGTTGTATGTTTTCTTCTCTGTGTAGAATCTGTGTATTAGCTTTATCTATATTGCAGTCGTTTAGTACACAATGATCATGGAATACAGAGTTTAATCGGTGGTACTTTAAATCAGACATATGTTTTTTTACTCTCAGTTTAAGTTTTCGTTTTGTTTCTCCTATATAAATGCTGGTGTTTTTACAGGTACATGGTATTTCATATACTATATTTTTCGTCTCTTCTTTATCTATTTTTTGTTTTTTTAATACACTGTTTGGCCTTTAATCTAGAGAATAGATTTTCATACTTGGGAGCAAGTTTCATATTTTTCTTCATTTCTGTATCTGTCTGCTCATACATATTTTTTATATATGGGAAACCTACATATTTATGTTTTGTTTTTCCATCGATTATCCTGGTTTTTGTATCATTTATTCCGGTAGTGTTATCTGTATTTTGCCATTTATTAATTAATCTCATTGGATATCCATTTATATTGAATTTTTTCTTTAAAGTATTTATATGTTTATTATTAGTAATTTCGTTACTGGTTCTATTTTGTATTTTCGTATACTCCATATGAAAACCATTCTTTTTAATATACATAGGTATATTAGAGTTGTATCTTATTGTAGTTTCAATTGAACACGGTTTTTTATAAGGTTCAACTTCTAGCTTGTTTTCTTTCCTTGTAATTACAACATCAAGGTATCGTATACTGTTATGAACATCATTTTCTTTTTCTATTGTAAATTGTATTTTTGTGTCTATGTTATTTATTATTTCTTCTATTTCCTTAATATTAATTTCTGTATTGTTGTATATAATTAAAACATCATCGACATATCTTTTATAATATTTTATACCGTGTATATTTCTAATTCTTTCGTCTATTTCGGTCATTATAATTTCTGCGAGTTTTGGTCCAATGACTGACCCCATACTAATACCATTCTCTTGTGTATAATATTTTCCTTCCAATTCAAAATAATTACTTTTATATGCAAATTCTAACAGTTCTATAATATCAGGTTCTACATCTATTTTCTTAAGTTGATTCTCTATCAGTTCCCATTTTATTGATGGGTACATATCTATCACATCTAGACTGGCTATTTTATATGTATTTTCTATTTTAACACTTTTAAGATCGTCAAGAAAGTCATCTGTGTTTTTGATAGAATATTTCGAGTTTTTGTAAACTTTGAGCTTTTGTTTCAAGAATTTTTCTAAGTTATATAATACAGCGAATTTAAAGTCCACTATTGGTCTCACATTTTCATCTTTCTTATGGGTTTTAAGCTGTATATTTAATCTTGGTGTTCTGTCGTTATCCTCATACAGAATAAAATCCTTTTCATTTTTGGTAATTTTTTTAAGTTTTTGTAACTTTGTAATTCTATTTTTTAATTCGTCATATATTACATCTTTAGGGTTAATCGGTAGTTCTCTAAATTTATTACTTTTTACTATTTCAAGTTTTTTTAACATTATCCAATCTAGAGTCACAACAATAACTTGTTTCGATTTATCTGCTCTTATAATATTTAACTTATTCTCCTTTAGAAAGGTATACAATTTTTCTATATCATTTTTATATTTATAATAATTTTTATCCTTGATCTTCATTTTTCCTTTTTCTTTCTTAGTATAACTTTTAATTATATTACTTAAGTTAATTTTTAGAATTCTACAATCCACCTCTGTTAGCTCATTGCATATACGATCTAAATTTGGCACTATGTCTATTACTTCCCAATCGTTTGGTCCATTAAAGTCCAAACCTTTTTGCATTGTCTCTAGGATATCATTAGGTATATCAATTTGTGTTTTATTCAACACTAAAGATCTTTTCCATTCCGATATCTCTTCTATAGAAGGGTAGTTAAATTTTTTTACCAGTTTTTTATGTTTGTTCAGTTTATATTTATCGACATTGTTTCCTTGTGGGTTTTTTGTTTTATCTCCTTTATCTTCGAAATTAACGTTCTTTTTCCTTTTGTTGTATTTTTGTAGATCACGTTTTAGTCTTCTAATTTTTATATATTTAAATTTTATAGCAGATGTTAATATTTTTTGATTTATGTAATTTCTATCACGTGTTGGGATATTTTCTATTATAGACTGTGGGAGAGACAGTGTTTTTAATTGTCTATGCTCCTTAAGGTGTACTTTTAGGTAATTTAAATCTATTAGAAGTTTGTCTATCTCACCTTGTATCTTTTCTTGATATTGAACTGTACACATGTTTTCCTTTTCTTCTGGTCGATAACTGCCGTTTCTATATTAACAATTTCGTTTGATTCTGATGAAACCTTGTTGTTGTTATTAAGCTGTTTCTTTGCAGACACACTAAGGTGACATATATCAACACTTGGCAAATTATTAACTATTTATTCAGTTGGGACGCTTTTTTCATTTCGCGTTTCGGGCATTGGCCCCTCTTCAGCCAACTAGACATAAAAAATAAAACATGAGAAAAATGTACAAAAATACGCGAGTAAAACAACCCGTAGATAAAATGTTTTTTTAAAACATTTTTTAATAACCTACCATAAAGCACAAACCACTAGTGTACAGATGTCGTACAGAATGGACAGTTTATTATTCCATATACCACTTAAAAAACAAACAAAGTCGAGGATAACCATTTGACTACTGGCTTTCGAATATGGTATTCTTATACTTTATGCAAAAAATTCAAATAAGTAAATTGAAAATTACAACATATTTTAACAATATTTGCTTTACCTGTAGCCAGTATTTGTATATTACACCTTAGGTGCAATATACGAATTTTCACAAATTCTAGTGCAAAATTGTGTAACGAATCTAATGGCATATGCATTTTTTGTTTCTGACAATAACTTTTCGAGATATCGCAGTTTTAATAGTGAAAATTCGATTATCCGTTACTGTCGTTTTTCCCATATAATCTAACTGATGTCGCGTCTAAACTAAACACTTATACATAAATCTGAAATTTTTATACATATTCTAGTGCAGAATAGTGTAACGAATCTAATGGCATGTGAATTTTTTGTTTCTGTATATAACTTTTCGAAATATCGCAGTTTTAAAAATGAAAACCCGATTATTTCTGACTGTCGTTTTTCCCATAAGATCTGATTAATGTCGCGTCTAAACTAAACACTTATACATATATTTAATCTTTTTAACATATTCTAGTGCAGAATAGTGTTACGAATCTAATGGCATAACAATTTTTTGTTTTTGACCATAACTTTTAGAGATATCGCAGTTTTAAAACTGAAAATTCGATTATCCGTGACTATCGTTTTTCCCATAAAATTTGAATAATGTCGCGTCTAAGCTAAAAACTTATGAATATATCCAAATTTTTTTACATATTTTAGTGAGAAGTAGTGTCAGGAATCTAATGGCATAATAATTTTTTGTTTCTGACCATAACTTTTCGAGATATCGCAGTTTCAAAAGAAAAAATCCGATTATCCGTGACTATCGTTTTTCCCATAAAATCTGATTAATGTCGCGTCTAAACTAAACATTTACATATATATCTAAATTTTTTTACATATTCTAGTGCAGAATTGTGTAAAGAATCTAATGGCATATGAATATTTATTTTCTGACCATAACTTCTCAAGATATCGCAGTATTATAGGTGAAAATCCGATTATCTGTGACTGTCGTTTTTCCCATTACATCTGACTAATGTGACGTCTAACCTAAACATTTACATATATTTCTATAATTGTTTCACATATTCTAGTGCAGAATTGTGTAACAAATCTAATGGCATATGAATTTTTTGTTTCTCACCGTAACTTTTCGAGATATCGCAGTTTTAAAGATGAAAATTCGATTATACGTGTCTATCGCTGTTCCCATAAGATCTGATTAATGTCGCGTCTAAACTAAACACTTATACATATATCTAAAATTTTTCCCCATATTCTAGTGCAGAATAGTGTCAGGAATCTAATGGCATAATATTTTTTTGTTTTTGATTATAACTTTTCGAGATATCGCAATTTCAAAAGTAAAAATCCGATTATCCGTGACTATCGTTTTTCCCATAAAATCTGACTAATGTCGCGTTTAAACTAAACACTTATGGATATATCTAAAATTTTTGTACATATTCTAGTGCGAAGTAGTGTCAGGAATCTAATGGCATATGAATTTTTCGTTTCTGACGAAAACTTTTCGATATATCGCAGTTTTAAAATTGAGAATTCGATTATCTGTGACTATCGTTTTTCCCATAAAATTTGAATAATGTCGCGTCTAAGCTAAAAACTTATGAATATATCTAAATTTTTTCCCATATTCTAGTGCAGAATAGTGTCAGGAATCTAATGGCATAATAATTTTTTGTTTTTCACCATAACTTTTCGAGATATCGCAGTTTCAAAAGTGAAAATTCGATTATCCGTGACTATCGTTTTTCCCATAAGATCTGATTAATGTTGCGTCTAAACTAAACACATACATTTGCCTAAAATTTTTCACATATTATAGTGCAGAATTGTGTGACGAATCTAATGGCATGTGAATTTTTTGTTTCTGACGATAACTGTTCGAGATATCGTAGTTTTAATTCGAAAAATCGCAGTAAAAATTTGATTATCTCTGGCTATTGTTTTTTTCATAAAATCTGATTAATGTTGCATCTAAACTATACACTTATACATATATCTGAATTTTTTCATATATTCTAGTGCAGAGTTGTTTCACGAATCTAATGGCATATAAATTTTTCGTTTCTGATGATGACTTTTTTTAGATATCGCAGTTTTAAAAGTGAAAATCCAATTATCCGTGACTATCGCTCTTCTTATAAAATCTGATTAATGTCGCATCTAAATAAAACACTTACACACATATATCTAAATTTTTTTTACATATTCTAGTGCAGAATTGTGTAACGAATCTAGAGGCATATGAATTTATTGTTTCTGATCATAACTTTTCGAGATATCGCAGTTTTAAAAGTGAAAATCCGATTATCTGTGACTATCGTTTTTCCCATAAGAATTGACTAATGTCGCATCTAAACTAAACACTTATACATATTTCTAAAATTTTTACATATATCTAAAATACGTACTATTTGTCGTAACATGCGTCGAAATTAAACTTGTCAATATTCGAACGGACGCGCAGTCTTCGATTTTAAAGTTTGCTAGAATTGAAAAATCATTTTTTCAGTCATTTGTCGGTTTTATCGATAAATTTAAATACGAAATAACATCGTATTGTATAAGCTTTGTACCATTTATCGTAACACTTGTCAGTACCGAACTTGTCATTCTGCGCATGCGCACAGTCAATTTGAATTTCGAATTTTACTAAAATTGATAAATCATTTTCTCGGTCATTTTTTAGTATTTTGTAAAAATTTATATTTCAAATAACGTCGTAACGTAGAAAATACGTACTATTCATCGTAACATGCGTCGAAACCAAACTTGTCAATTTTCGAACGAACGCCGCCATCTTGGATTTTAAAGTTTGCTAGAATGAAAAAATGATTTTTTAATTTTAGCAAACTATAAAATTTAAGATGGCGGCGCTCGTTCGAAAACCCGTAACATCGCCATAATTGAACTTTTGATTTTTCGAGTTTTTGCCGCGAACTTCAATTTCAAGGTCGCTAGAATTGAAAAATCATTTACTCCATCATTTTTTAGATTTTTCAAAAAATTTCAATACCAAATAACAACGTAACGTAACAGGTCTGTACTAGTCGTAATAACATTCGTCAGAATCTAATTTTTCAATTTTTGAACGGAAGTCGCCATCTTGGATTCCAAAGTTTGCTAGAATTGAAAAGTCATTTTCTCCGTTATTTTTCAGTTTTTTCGAATAATTTAAATACCAAACAACAATGTAACGTAACAGGTATATGTACTAGTCATCGTAACATTCTTCAAAATCGAATTTCTCAATTTTCGAACGTAAGCCGCCATCTTGGATTTCAAAGTTCACTAGAACTGAAAAATCATTTTTTTGTTCATTTGTTAATATTTTTCAAAAATTTGAATACATAATAACATCGTAACGTAATAGGTAAATACTATCTATCGTAACATTCGCCATAACCGGACTTCTGATTTTTCGAGTTTTTGCCGCGAACTTGAATTTCAAGGTCGCTAGAATTGAAAAATCATTTACTCGATCATTTCATAGATTTTTCAAAAAATTTCAATACCAAATAACAACGTAACGTAACAGGTCTCTACTAGTCGTAATAACATTCGTCAGAATCGAATTTCTCAATTTTCGAATGGAAGCCGCCATCTTGGATTCCAAAGTTTGCTAGAATTGAAAAGTCATTTTCTCGTTTATTTTTCAGTATTTTCGAAAAATTTCAATTTGGGCGAGTGGTCTCCGTTGCCGCTCATCGTAGTGGTGACCAGACCCTAAAGACTGGGAGGTTCGTCGTGGGTTCGCGCCACGGTCGGACAGGCTGGCTGCTTGGAGTTTTCCGGGTTTTCTCCTTGCCTATAACGACTGAATAGGAGGCCAGTTCCCCATAAAAGTCCTCCCGGAAGGCATTTATTTCCCGCGCGTACGTATGGCTGTTCNTTACCTAGACCTTAAGGAAACAGACAGCAGACTCACTTGTCTTCTTATATCAGCAGGAATGCCATCACTAATGAGCGCAAGAAAACATCCCATGATGCACTAGAAAAGGATCAGTGCGAGTTACCACCACTAAAGGGTTCTGTCTACTGAATGATTTCTATGTTTGAACAGTGAAGCCATCAACAACCTTATTACTCATATTTGAAGTTCAAAGTGTCCACTACTAACGCAGTGTCCACTACCGGTGCGCTTAAATAACAAATATTTAGAACAACCGAGGAATATAACTACAACTTTGATGTATTAGCTTTTTGCGAGACTCGGACAAATGATGTAAATCCTCCACCATATATAAAAGACTATCGGCTAGAAAAAATAGAAAGAAAACCCAATCAGCGTAGAGGCATAGTAATATATATACATAATGATAAACATTATGGAGTTGTTTCAGATCCAACTTTTACAAGGAATTATATAGATGTAATTACGATAGTTGTAGGTAATTTGATGCTGGTAATAGTCTGTCGTTCCCATCTACAAACTACGGAATTTTTCTGATGTTATAAATGAAATACTATTACATAAATCAACCAAATATGGAAAATATAAATTACAAATAATCGGGGATTTTAACATCGATTTACTGAAAAATAACTCCTCCGACACCTCCGAACTGATAAATCTTTGCTTTGCTGATTTGAATCAACCGACTAGATACGGAAAAAATACTCACTTTTGATAGACTTTGGTCTAACAAACGATAGTGAGTGTCATTTTTTAATACATCAAAATTTGATATCTGACCATCTACCTATCATCGTCTTTACCCCCGAAAAAGACCTCCATACGGGGACAAAGAACAAAGCAATCTACCGTAAAATCAATGATTCCTCGCTTTCTCCTGGAGTTATTACTATACTTCAAGTTTGACAACTGACCAATTAGCTGACTATTTATACACCATCTTAGTCGTTTTTATTGATAAATATCTTCCGACTAAAGAATATGTGAAAAAATTAAAACTAGCAGGAAAAAATTCTTAAAGAATTTTATATCTGAACACACGCATTAATTAAACGGAAGAAAACGTTACTTAAAACAGTCAAAAATAAAAATTGGACGACTTTCGAAGAACGAAACAAACATTTAGAGGATATAAATACCTTGAATAAACAAATCAGAAAAAATATCCGTAATGAAGAGAAAAACTATTATAGTCTTCTGTTTTCTAATGTTAAATCTCCTTCTGACTTCTGGAAAAGAATTAAGACGTTACCTTTCGGGTAACCGGGAAAAGAATAAGGCTAAAATAGATCATTCGAATTACGAGGGGAAAATGATAAATGATGAGCGCTCTTTTAGTGATATTTTTGCCGAGCACTATGGGTCCTCGAACGGTTTTGCTCCTGTCTTCGGCAATATCAATTCGGAGCAACATAGAACAAATGTTAGTATTTCTAATACTTTCTTTTTGGAATATACAACGGCCTTAGAAGTCTATAATACTATAGTGTATAATATTTGAAAAACAGCACTCAGTTTCTTAAATATTGAAATCTTAAAACACATATCCCATATCTTAGCTCAACCATTATCGCATCTGATAAATAAATCTTTTGAAAACGGTTCCTTTCCGGAAAAACTAAATCAAAACTTAGTTTTGTCATTATATAAAAATAAAGGATCGAAAAGTGAAATTGAAAATTATCGTCCCATAATAATAGTGTCGGTGTTGGCTAAAATTTTCCAGATTTTCTACAAGAGATTCTCAACTTTTATAGACAGATTTCAGGTTATTCACAGAAACCAATATGCTTATAAACGAGGATTTTCGACGGTAGATGCTTTGTTGCATTTGAAACAATAACGTCACAACTTGACAAATCGAAAATAGCAATATCAGTTTTTGTGGACCTTTCAAAGGCATTTGATAGCTTAAATCACGAACTTTTGTATCAAAAATTGCAAACTATTGGTCTAAGAGGGACTCCTAAGCTGGTTAAAATCATACTTGTCAAACAGAATTTACTTTGTAAAAATTGGACAGATTATCTCTAGCTCTTTCGGGCCAAACAAGGGCGTTCCTCGAGGTTCAATCTCGGGTCCACTGCTTTTCAATATATATATTAATGATTTGTTTAACTATATACCAAAAGAGAATATACCGATGTACGCTGACGATCTAGTGATAACTTATTCTCGTACGAACGTTATAATTTTTCGGGAGAATTTAAATCATATTTTAAAAACTTTAGTTATATGGAAAACAATGGATTGGTAATTAACAAAAATTAAGCTAAATTCCTCCGCTTTGCAAATAGGAATAAAATAATCAATTCGCATCACCTAAAAATTGAAATAACTGATTATAACATAGAAAAAGTAAATGCTATTAAGCTTTTGGGAGTAACTTTTGATGACAATCTGCGCTGGAATAAACATATAGATGATGTTGCACTTTCCCGTGCAAAGTATACTGGGATAAATAAGAAAATTCAAGTTTTTTTAAATACATCACTCTTGAAACGGCCGTACTACACTCGCATTGAATCTAGAATAAGATATGGTATCGCTGTATGGGGAACCGCATCTCTATACGCCGTTAATAAACTTCGGATGACACAAAATCGTTACACGCGTTTAATTTATAATTTAAACTTTATGGAATCAGTATCCGAACTCTACCGCACCGAAAATATCGACAAGATTAGTGAAATTTACAAGAAACAGATTCTATTGGAGGGCTTCAAATATATAAAGGGAAAAGAAGAAAACAGCTTCCTAGGAATTGATATAGTTGAATGTCACAGATCGACACGAGATACTCGTATAATTCGTGAATATAGTCTTCCAATTGTTAAACTAGGGGTGGGGGGATCTGCACCGATCTTTCAATTAATTTTCTATTGGAATACTCTGTGCAANTTTTTTTTTTTTTTTTTTTTTTTTTTTTTTTTTTTTTTTTTTTTTTTTTTTTTTTTTTTTTTTTTTTTTTTTTTTTTTTTTTTTTTTTTTTTTTTTTTTTTTGTTGGTTTACTGTAAGATGCTCGTAAAAGGCCAACCTGGCCACAGTGTCTTTTGAGAAATAAATAAAATAAAATAAAAAATGCTAGATTTTTAAATGGTGTTTAAATGAAAACTAACTTAATCTGTGCCAATAAAAAAGACAGAACTTGAATTTATTCTAATATTTAAATGATTTGAAAAGAAAATTACCCCAAAAATCAATCAATATTTTTTTTATTGCAATAATTTACAAAAATGCATCTGTGACATCTGATCCAAAATTTCTAAAGTGCATATTACAAGGTTTGTCTTTCTGATGATATACAAACTATTATAATAAATAGATATCATTAATATTGCTTCGGTTATGAATTTGAGATCTATAAAGAAATCGAGATAGGATTTTAATTTGGTAATATAATAAAAAGAAAAATTTGGAAGAAGGATGCTTGAATGCTTTAGAAACAAAATTTTGAAAACGGATAATTTTTTCTTGAAACACTTAAAAAGATTGGGTTCAAAATTAAGCAAATACAAGATGCACAAATGTAATTTTTAGAGATGACAGATTCAGTCAATGATTTCCCATCACTTTGGTACAAACATTCAGATAAAATAAATGCAAATTATTCCTTTGGTTTTCTTGTGAATGGTGAGTGGTTATTACGACTTAATTTAGTCGACCAAAAAGAAAAGAAAAAACAATTTTTGTTTCAATCCACCAAGTCTTACTTTTGATTATCACTTCAAACCAACAACTAAAAGAATGATTTTAACTTGTATTTACATTGCATTGAAAATTTTTATTTCTATTGAAATGTTTACTTTTCCAGTTCTTCTAGTATTCAACATAATACAAAAGAAACCACCCAAACATTGGTGTTTCCTCTTATTTCTTCGGTAAGAAAAAGTATATACAGTTTATTCACGTACTGTAAAATATACAGTAATACATACGTATGCTTTACTCGATAATATGTAAGGATTACAAAATAAAGCGAGTAGCTAAACAGTCACTGTCATTACACGTTAAACTGAAGAACAGCTTCTTATAAGAACACAAGTGGCAAATAGCCCAAACAGACATGGGCTATGGCACTTTATAGGAAATGGAGATAACTAAACTTATCACCACCAAACACTGATATATTTGATTTAATCATTTCAAGAACATTAAGATATGACTGGTTGCGGCTGATTACTCGGAGAAATGCACGATGGCAGAGGCTGATTCCTATTAATGGTGTCTTTTATCACCGCGGCAACCATCTCTCGATCTCCCTAAGATAAACAAAGATTTTTGTATGACGCGCGAGTCATTATTGCTTCCCAGACAATATTTTCACCCATACTTACCTGATTAATAAATCCATAAAAAATAAGTTCATCTACTAGTATGCTTGCATTATCTTTTAATGTCAACTCACAGGACAATTGTCGGTTCATCTTGTCATCCATCCTTAGAAGAAGCGTAATCTGAAAAACTTGCCAATAAGTTTCAATACCATCATCTTTGAAATTAATTCTCAAAAACAAATATTACCACAGGAGCTTGTCCTTCTTCTTGAGGTTTAATAGTACACATCATGTTAGTTATGTGTCTGGTTTCGATATCGGCCGGTTCAGGAGTCGTAGACTTAACTGATTCAGATATTTCAGGTGAAATAGCTCTGGGACGTACAATGGGAGGATGAGTTGGAGCAAAAGCAGTCAGTGGATAAATACCATTTCTAAATAAAAAAAAGCAAGATATTTAGTTACATTTTATATTTCATTTAAAACATTCAGTTGATACTAAAATAGTTACTAAACATTTAACAAATAAAAAGGGTTTATATTAATTCAGTAATTGAAAATATTAAATCATAATCCGAAGTATAAACTCCATTGTATAAACTATACACACCCAAGCAAGAAACCAAAGTTCAAAAATTTTTGTCAAATCTGAACTTTTAATAATATGCTAAATGTTCCAACCTACTTTATTCTATCTTCTAATGGGACTAAATTCATTCTGAACATAGCTACTTTTAAATATACATCTGTGTACTGGATGCTAGAATTATGAATCATATGTATACTTTTGCCAACCATTTGCAAAAAATGAGTATTTTCAGTTATGAAAAATTAGATTACATAATATCAATTTTTAAAGCCATATGTTTGAAGAAATATCATGTCTACATTAAAGCAGCTCCACACACTTGGTATTCACTGATTGATGAATAATTGCCCATTTGTCCTCTGATTTGACACAATATATGGACAAGGAATGAGAAATGCCAAATACAGAATATTAGTAACAAGTAAATCATCCATACTACTCAGTATTGGCCAAATGTTTGTTCAGCATTTGGCAAATACCAAATATATGTGGAGCAGTCATTAGGAAAAAACATTCCAAAAATTAAAAAAGTGAAAAAATAAAATGAATTCAATTTTATTTACTTTAATTTCCTGCATATAATTTATGGCAGTGTATACACCAAAGAAAATTGCTCCCATTATGCCCCATTTGTTTTATTTTATATCCATTAAGAATCCATTTTGGATGAAATTATAAATAAGTGAAACAGAAAAACAATATTTGAGAAGAAACTGACTGAACTGCATTATGTTGAAAATAGCTATCAAATATTAAGAAAAAGCTGTTGTTTTCTTTCAATTTTATTTTGTTCATTTAATAATAATACTCGATAAAATAATAAACGGAAATACAAGAAAAAATCTAGTTATGAATTTTCCTTTTAAAACTTCTGAGGGTTTAGAAAAACTCAAAAAATTTATAAATGAAGATTTGGGTTTAAACAATATTGAAATTGAGGGCTTAGTTCATTTAAAAAATAATCCAAATAATCAAATGGTAAAAATTATAATGGAAATGGTCAAAGACAGAAACCTAATTCTCAAAAAATTCTGGAGAATGAGACCGAAAATGGATGACAAGAAGAAAAAAATAATAATAATAACGGATTTATGTTATTGCTCCAGAATTAGAAGAAAGCAATTACTCAAAAAGATTAAGTCAGAATATTCAGATGGCAATAGATATCAAGTAATAGATGATTACTATATTAATGATAATTTAATGTATACATATGATATAAATACAAGAGAGATCATATTAATTAATCATTTTTTAGAATTAGCGACAAAACAAACTTAGGTAAATTAATAGAAAAACCTAATATAAGGCACGAAAATTATGGAAGGAAAAAACTGATGTTAAATAATAATAAGAAAGAAGATAATTTGATAATTTGTCTATTATAAATAACAACTTTAAGGCGATTGATATGGATTGGTTGAATTATGAAAATAATAAGATGAAGATAAGTTTCTGGAATATCCAAGATTTAAGAGAAAAAAAATACACAAATTGTTGGTGAGAAAATTCCTAAACTCAAACAAAATCGTTGGAATTACAGAAACAAGGAGTCTCAGCTTGAGTACAACCAAAAAGTATTATTTAGAATAAGAGAATAATATCATTATGATTAAGGCACATCGTAAAAGTAAATTCGGCCGTCCATCAATTGGTATCCTGTTGCTAATTAAGAAGAAATTGGGAGTCATTCTTTGTCAGTATACTCTAGAATACTTTATAGTCATTATTTTAAAAGTTGATAAGGAAATTAAAACTATATGGAATTACCCATATTTGGGACTAATAGTAATGTACTGTACCTCTCATCATTAATTGATAAGAAATCCATATTACAAGAAGTATAGTATTATTTAAATAGATGGTTCTTTGTGGTCCAACTATGGATGATTGGAGGAGATCTTAATGCACATATTGGCAAAAACTCTGACACAAATGTTTTTCAGAATTATGATAATATTAACAACAGAAGACTATCTAAAGATAAATTACTAAATACAGATGGTAAAATTCTCTTGGACTTTGTACAAGATAATCAGTTAATTATCTTAAATGGTAGAATGAAAGGTGATGTTCCCACAGAATTCATGTTTATATCTCGAAATGGAAAGTCAACCATAGATTATGTTATATATTCAGAAGCTATGATAGATTACTGTATGACCCTTACAGTTCTGGAAGACAATACTGCGGACCTTTTTCCGATACAAGTGAAGCAGTAGTAAAATAAGTTACGTACGTAGTCGGGGTTTTAATGTGGAATATCGTCCAACATATAATAAACAAAAATGGTTGGAGGAGATTGAGTCTAAAATTGTTGATCTAATAAATTTAGAAGAAGAGAACTGATAACTGATCTGATAACTGACTATCAGAGGCTTTTAACCAAATTAGGAGAATTCAGAAATGTAGACAATTTTATAAGCAAAGATATAAGAACGAATGGTTCAATAACACTTGTTATATCCATAAAATCAAAAAACAAAAGTTTGCAAGCCTTTAGAAAAACTAACACAAAAGAAACACTTATAAAATACGTACAAAATAAGAAAACTTATAATAACTTAATCAAAGCTAAAAAGAAATTATACTTTTCAAATATTAGTAAGAAATTAATAGAAGCAAAAGATTCAAGAATATTTTGGCTGATAATCAATAATTTTCGAAAAAAGAAATTGGAATATATCAGGTAACCAAAAAAGTTCTGTCATTTTTTGTTGAAAGAAAACAAACATAAAAATGTATAGGAAATAACACAATTTATTCATCAAAATAACCACCCTACATTCAATAACCTGTTCCCAACAGGAAACAAGCTTATAAATTCCATTTTTATAAAAGTCACGATTTTTAGAGTTGAAAAACTTCCCTAATTCCGTTTCTATAACCTCTCTATTTCTAAACTGTCAATTTCGCAGATGATTATCTAGGCTTAAAAATAGGTGATAGTCAGAAGGACTAATGTCAGGGAAATAAGGAGGGTGCAAAAGAGGTTCCCATCCAAGGGTCTGAATTGTGTCAGAGGTCACACGCGCAACATGATGTCTATAGCATTATTGTGTAGGAAAAGAACGCCTTTATGGTTCACTAAAGCTGGTGGTTTTTTCAAAAGTGATTGGTGAACTCAATGCAGTTGGTCACTGTAGACATTAGCAGTAATAGTCTGGCCAGATGGTATAAGTTCATAGTGAACAATTCCATTTGCAGTCCACCATATGCACAATATTGGCAGGTGCCAATTGATGAAGTATCCATTTGCTGAGCTTGTAAACTTTCCCAAGACAATGCAAATGTAAACGGACAGTTTCATCACTTACGGAGAACCTTTGTGCTAACATCTGACAAGTTTGAGCAGAATATTCTTCAATTGCAGCCTGTAATTCAACATCATTCTTATGGCGCATCTTTAAGCGACTCATTGCCGGAAGAAAATTTTGTAAACCATCTTTGGGTGGTGTGAGTGCTAACAGAACCTTGTCCAAAAGCTTGGCATATTTTTTGAGCCATTTGCACAGCACTTGTTCCAAGTTTAAACTCATACAACATACAAGCATGAATTACAGTTTGGAGTACTCATCTTCAAGTCAATTTTTATAATATTAAGAGATAACCTTTATACTTCTGTTTATATAAGGTGAGTCAGCATTAAATCTTGATTAACATATTGCTGGAATTTTAGTGTCATCTATTGTGTATTGCATGTAACATTCTTTAAACTTTGTAGTTTCACAAAACACGACAGAACTTTTTTGGTTACCTAATAATATACAAAGTAGAGTGGATAAATAGGTCATATACTTTAAAAAGTTCACAGAATACTATTTGTGTAATCAGAGACAAACATATACAGAAGTTAGGACAACTCATCTGATAAACCATGACAAGATAATTAAGGTAGAAGAAGTTCAGAGATGTATACATAGATTGAAAGACAAATCTATACCTGGATCAGATATGATCCCCAATTCACTTATCAAATTATTTCCTACAGAATTAATTCATTATTTAACCAGGTTATTCAACAAATTATATACGTATAGTTTAATATCAGATAAATGGAATGAAATCATACTTACAATGATATTTAAACAAGGCAATAGAGATAAACCATCGAATTATAGACCAATCACATTATTGTCGGGCTTCCAGAAAATATTTACCACAATTTTAGCCGAAAAATTCAAGATCTGGATTGAAAAAAATAACTATAGGAATCCAACACAATATGCATTCGTAGATAAAGGAGGTATGCAAACAGCTCATTTTGTCTTATTGACAACATTCCAACTAAAATTGCTTAAGAAAAGGCACAAGATCTTTGTGATCTTTTAAGACTTGGAAAAAGCATACGACTTGATTAATATAGGAGATTTACAGAACAAATTGGAGAAATATAATGCAAGTAACCATCTGATAAAAATAATAGGAATATTATTCGGGAGATATGAGACAAATATCAAACAAAATAATAATGTCTGGCCGCCGTTTACAACAAATAGAGAATTGTTACAGGGTGATCCTTTTTCACCATACCTTTTTAATTTTTATCTTTTCGATCTGAATAAATATTTTGAAAGAGAAGAAGATGGAATTTATATTGATAATCTAAGCATACATTCAATAACATACACAGACAATATTGTTCTGTTAGCACCGACAGTTGCAGCACTGCGTAGAAAAATTCAACAAATATCTGAATACATAGAAAAACTAAAAGTAAAACTAAATCCGAAAAAGTCAGTAATAATGATTTCTAGAAATGGTAGTAATCTACCTAAAAAACACATGTTGTTCTACATTAAGAAAGAAGAAGTGAAAATAGTAAACAAAGTTAAATTTTTAGGA